TGGCATTGGACTCCAGACAAACTGTCTAAATATTATAAAAATAGCTCCGAGATATGTTGGAGATGTAAAAACAATGTTGGAACTTGTTATCATGTTTGGTGGAACTGTGAAAAAATTGTTAAATTCTGGAAGATTACCAAAAAAGTAACAGAAGAAATTACAAAGGTTAAATTGCAGCTGAAACCAGAAATCTTTTTACTCAATATCACACCAGATGGCATTAAACGAGATGATTTAATAATCATATTGTATATACTTACCATGTCGAGAATATTAATTGCAAAACAATGGAAAAAGGTTACGATACCCAACAAAGAAGAGCTAAGGGATAAAATTATTGAAATAGCTGAACTAGATAAACTGAATATGACTCTTTCAGGAAAAGATGAAACAATTTTTCAAAATAGATGGCAGAAAGTTTATAACTGGGTGGAAAAAAACTTTTAGAAGATCTTCCATTTGTACTTCCAACAAATGTATATGTATTACTCTGTTTGTTATTTTATGTAATAGAAAACGTACAAATAAACTTATTAAAATAAAAATAAAATAAACTATCCAGTTCTCTTACGAAGGCATTTCAAAGGGAGATAAGAAAGACAGAGAGACAGATTGCAACTGATAATGAAGCTCAAGACAATGCATCTTCCTGGACTGAATCGAGAACTGGGTTTCCTGTCTTATTACCACTGCTGATTCCTCCATGCCTACTATCCCTCTGCATCACACCTAATCCAATCATGCCTGCTGTTGTCATTCACCTGCTATTGTCATTTGGCATCTGAAATCATTCTACTGTCCAATTAGATGGACAAATGGACTCACATTCTAGCTGTATCTGAAGAAGTGACTACAAAACCTGCCACAATTTTTGTTAGTCTTTAAGGTGCCACTGGACTCTTGTTCTTTTCTATCCAATAATAGTGATGGGCAGTGTACTTTATCATTGTGAACTTATTACTTGTACTTACTGGGAATTCATTGCTCACAAGAGATATTTGTAAATCCTCATCCACATGGAGTATAGGTAACCAATAAGAAGCCCCTCCTCTTGCTTGTAGCCAATCCTGCTTGTTCCTAGCATTATGATCAGGGCCTTGCTGGCAAAACTTAACGATCACATCTTGACAAGAAAGAGGGGTCTTATGAGTAGGCACCCCCATTTTACCCAGAAATGAATGATAACATTTGGGAAAGCATTCATTTACACATATTGGAGGAAGAGCCCATTAATCTGGAGAAAACATCTGCTGGAAGAAAGCTTCAAACTATGCTCAGTGCAGCAGCTGGATCCACCCCATTGTTTATTGTGTATATGATATCTTTTGTATGTGCACAACTGGAAATGGAAGGATTCTGTTTGTTTGTTTTAATTTTCATTATTTATACATTTGCTAATTTAATTTTACCACAGGTACACCGTGGCATTAAAGGCATAGTGAGAGATCTACATGGAAAAGGAATTCCAAATGCCATTATTTCTGTAGAAGGTGTTAACCATGACATCCGTACAGGTAATGGTGTAGCCTCTGTGTTACAAAGAAAGGGGGAAAGGATAACTAAAACACAGTCAACATTGATTTTAAAAGGACACAACTTTATTAATGGGCCATTTAATTACTAGGCGAATGGGTTATTGCAACAAGTAATACTGTGCATCAGAATATATTTATGTATTCCCTGAAATACATGGGCCCCCTGAAACTGAGTATGACATACCTAAAGTCTAGTAGCCTGTATCCTTCATACTATGAGCAGAATATATTTTAAGAATGTGCTGTGAGAATGCCCAATGGGGTTTGACTATACAGACCCCTGTAAACTATTTCCTATGAGAAGGGGAAATGGTAGCAGACCAGCTTACTGTTGGCGTGTAAAACAAAATTCCTTGCTATATCTGGTTTCTTTTCCTAATCCCAAGAATCCTGAATTTGTGTCTTCTGTTCCAGAAATCTCTGTAACAACCCGAAACAGAAATTTTCATATATATTTCAGGTATTTCAGGATGGACACCCCTAATATGTTTGGCTAATTTGTTGAATAATTTAACTGATCAGTAGCCTGCAATCTATTCATAATATTGTAGTCAACTAAGATCCAGTCAAATCCACTTCCAGTACCAAGAAGTGCTAGTTGCCCCCTCAGATGGAAGAAGGAGTCAGACAACCAAGGCTGGATGAAACTAAGGCCACTTTATTAAACATATTGAAAGTAACAGCAAGGGAAAACATAAACAGTGGCACGGTCAAGGCCTGGTGTTGCTTTGACCCCATCCTTAACCGTATAACAGGCAAGAAACCAAGGCCCCGGGTTGGAGCCAACTGTAAGTCGCTTGCAAACCCAGCCAAGCCAATGATTGGGATGCGCCTTCAGGAGCCATCAAACACCACCACACGGCCAGCGTCAAATCTCCATTGTGGCCATCCCCATAGGTAGTCTGCAA